TAAGAATAGAAGAGTTTTTTCACGGTGAGAAGAAGAAGAAGACCCACGTTCAAGGCAAAATATATTAAAAAAGGAAATAAAAATATTTAGAGAATATTTACTTTCAGATTTTGCTAGATTTTCGGATGGTGGCTCATAAACCGTTGGTAGAAGATACATTCTACCAAATTTTCCATTAGTTTAACCAGTGGAAACGTAATCCCACGAGCGTAGACAAAACATTAAAATTAAGAAGATATGTTCTGCCAAGGTAGACGCATGGGTCTTTATTATATGCTATGTTCTACTGAAACTGCATAACAAAGAAGGAATGCCAGTTATCATATTCTTCAATCGTAGATGAATATGTTTTTGGTGTATTACGCATTCTAAGCCCTTTAGATGGATTAGTTGTTAGTAGATTGTACACTCTGAACCGCTGTAGATGGTAGATCTGATTTGCTACCCGATTCATCCAATTTTTGAAATTACTATTCCAAACATTTTTTGAATGTAAAAATATTTTTCATATATTCACATGTTACTCTATTTCATATTGTATATTTTTCCTCAATTTTTTACCTTGTAAATTTTTTACTTTAAATTTTTATATACAAAAAGGGTAGTGAATGTCCAAAAGTGCCAAAATTTGATTTTATTCTAAGGGGACAATAGTTGTGTTTTTCGGTCCCCTTTTGGCAAATTTCCCTATATTGTATATATTTCCTAAAAAATATAGACAACTGAAAAATATCAGGTGCATTATGACATAGATACAGTTAGATGCATGCATACATTATATATATGACATATCTTAGTTTTTGAATATATTTTTTATAGTAACTTAATAAATATGCATTCAAAGTCTGATACATTCAGATATCATACCATCCTATATTGTATATACAGGTTTTCTAAAAAATACACAACTGGAAAATATCAGCTTGATGATATATATAAATACGTGTGTTTGTGATGTACACTACCACTACGCTCAATCTTTTTATATTTTGAGAACTCCAGTTATCATATAAAAATGACTAAATCCATTTTGTGTGCTGTCTTTATCATCCTTATTCTAGGTTTGTTTGATGTTTTACCAACTTTTAAGGTAATGATTTGTTTGCGTTACCAAAACAAATGATACTAATATGTTTTTAAATATTATTTTTTGACAGGGGTGATGGCGAATGAGATTCAAGAAAACAAGTGTGGTGAGGTTTTACCACAAGTAGATTGTGGTGGTGGTGGTGCTTGTGGCGCTCTGTGCCGTCAACTAAAGCACGGAATCCCTCAGTGCCTTCCGACATCTAATGGAAAATTAGCATGCTACTGTACTTATTTATGCCCTCCTTGAATTTTTGTTTCACTCTCTAAAACAGCATCCCACTTTTTGAGATCACTTTTTTGAGATAAATGCAAAATGAAATAATATGATAAGAAATAAAATTTTAAGAGAATATCTCTCAAATTTTGTTATAAATTCCTGTGCCATATGTTGTTTTAAAATAATTATAGTATCGAAAAGTAATGAATTATTAAAAAAAATATTACTACTTTTAAGGATGAAAAATTTTAAATTGAGAATTCACCAATAAATATGCTCTGAAATATATATTTTCCATGACATAAGTCCAACATTGATTAACAATAACCAATCAATCCTCTTTTCACACGTTTATGTGATTTCTTCGTCTATTCCATTACGTGATTTTTTCGCCTTCACGCTCTTTGTCACTTTGCCATCGGGAAAATAGCATAAAATTTTTAAAATAGCATTCACTAGCATTTTAAACCTTGAACTTATTTAACTAGCATATTAAACCTTCAATTTGGTTGTGTATCACAAAAAACTTTCAACTTGATTTACTTGTTCATCAAGTCAAAATTATGCCCTGTTAACCTACAGTAAGAGGTGACTTGTTGATTTTTTATTTTATTTAATTAAGATATATAATTAACAACAAATAACAATAAAAATATAAATACAATTTAGAAAATTACTGAAAAATCGAAAACTGAATTTAGTACAAATTTAAAATGTAAGTTTTACAAAAAAAATAATATTAAATAAAAGCTATAAAATATTCTCACAATTAAATAATTTTGAACATTATCACCATTAACATGAACATTCTTTGTCATGTCATCATTAAGAGTAACATTTTTGGTTATATCGATAATGACAATAGTGTCAAAAATAATTATTATTTGTATATGAAAAATTATCACCGTTCAAAGATATCAATATATTAAAATTAAACCCTTTCAAACATACATAGTGTTATTATTAATGGTGATATGACGAAATTGTTACTTTTAATGGTGGTATATCCAAACTATTTATTTGTTTTAAATAACATTTTAGAGCTTTATATAATTTTATAAAAAATATAATTCATATTTTCATAAAATAGCATTTAGAATAAAAATAAGAGAAAGTACCTTAGATTAGGGGTGTGCACTTTGATTATCTTATTGGTTCGGTTCGGTTAATTTGGTTCTAGAATTTTTCTAGTTAAAGTAAACCATAGTTAGTTTAGTTCGGGTTATATTCGGTTTGGTTTATATTTGGTTTGGTTTATATTCGGTTTGTATTCGGTTCGCTTTGTATTTTGGTTCGGTTTAATCGGATTTCTCTTAGTTTATTTCTTTTACAAGAAATCATGTTTTAATACATAAATGTATGGCTGTCATGAATTAATAGCGTTAGTCACAACAAAAAATTAAGTATGTAAACTAAATAAAATATAAAACCAAAATAATACCTTTTATAAAGTCACATATATAGTTTATAGCATTTTTAGAATTCAATTAAGTCAAAATTAACTAAAATAAATAAAAGAACAACATCATTGTCCCTTATACCATTAAAAATTAAAAAAGCCTGCCATGAATCATCTTCCAGTGATATCATCTAAAAAACCTGCAACAAATTAATAATTAGTATGTGTTATACATAAACTATACGAGTATTTATTTATATTTTTACTATAACTCTACACTTATGATTCCATTATTTGTATTTTTTACTAACTAATATTGAAAACATAATACGTCTCTGAGAGAAATACAATAATGGCTACACAAAAGCATGAAACCATATAACTGTTATTATATTTAAGAGAGATTATTACCTCTATATAAAAAGTTATAGTTCGTCTAACTAGACGTGTGCACTTCATTCTCAGGAGGATTAAGCTCTACAAAAAGAAAAGAAACATCAGAAATTAGTTGAGAGATTAAACATATAAAATATTGTTAAATATGATCTTAAAAAAATGGTAAAACACCTTCTTCAAGTGAATCCATAAACTTGTTCTCCTCCTCTAGAAGGCCAAAAGACCTCATTGCTTCGGAATGTAGAGAAGCACGTAAACAAACTTGTGTCAGTACCAATGTTTCAACCATTTCAGGAGTCAAACAACTTCTATATTGGTCTAGAATACGACTTCAAGTGCTAAAATCCGACTCAGATGCCACGGATAATACGAGTACCGCAAGAATTTCTCTTGCCATTAAAGACATCACTAGATACTTTGAACTATTTGTCTTCCACCAGCTTAGAATATCAAAAGGAAGTCCCAGCTCATTTTCAGTAGCCACAAACAATTCTTCCTTTAGATATCTATCCAACTCATTCAAAACATCCGAGTAGTCTTTTTAGCAACCATAAATCTGAGGAAAGGATCATCAATAATGTCAACATCCATATCTTGAGAGTTTTGACTCGCTGGGATTACATTCTCGTCTCCACCAACAAAAGAAGATTGTAGATTCAAGTTGGTGTACCGATCCTGATATACTCTAAATAGTCTCCGCAAAATACCCATCACCATATCAGACATTTGTGTGCACTTTGGATTACCACTTCTATATATAAGTTCAAATCTATACTTTGTAAAGACCATTTTGCCACGTGGATCAAGTACACCAGCCACTATCAAAATCTTATTGATCTTTTCCATACCTTCCCAGTATTTATCAAACTTAGCCTTCATTGCAGAAGCCATTTCTCTTAGATCATAGTCTTGGCTGAAAGCCATTGTGTTAACATTTGCTTGAAATTTGCATATCTCATTATAACAAGCATTTGATGTTACCTTTATAGAAGATGAAAATGCTAAAGTCGAATCATAAAGGAATTCAAAAACTTCACCATATGACGAGCTTTTGTCCCAGCCAATGTCCATAGGAGGTCCTTTCCTCTCCTTTCCATGAGAATCAAGTTCTTTGAACCATGCATCATACGGTTTATCCATCTCAGCCATCTTATCAAATGCAACTTGATATTCAAGTGCCCTTTTAAGCATCAAATATGTAGAATTCCACCTAGTAACACAATCCAGCACCACACTTCCTCTTGTTATCTTCTCAATTTCCACCCAACGCTTAAATGATTCTAGCCTCGTATTTGACGACCGCACATATTTCTCAGCATTACGGATACTGTAGATCTTAAAATCCACACTCAGTATTTTGTACTGATCGAGAGTTCAATCAGGGGAAGACAAATGATGTGGGCAACGATGCTCTTAAATACAACGATACAATCGGAATTTGGTTGAAAAATGGACTTTTATTGAATATAGAATTCGTTTACAAGGTGATGAACAAGATCGGAAACAACAAGGAAAAGTAGAAGTAATTAGCGAACTTAGAAATCTAAGAGTGAGGTTGATGTGATAAGTGAGTAGCTCTAGGGTTTTCTGTGTGTTTTGCACTCTATTCTAGCTCCTATTTATAGCCCTCTCCTCCTCTAACTGTTTATGTGATCTCCGGGATGTCGTCTCGACCTCGTAGAGTCTGGTTTGATGTCGAGCTCGTAATCATTTTAAATGGGCTTGGGCCTACTTACCTAAGTGCCGAAATTGGGTCCAACAGATACTTATTATGCCCTTGCTTATATCGTCCAGACCTTCATTAGCAATCAAGCTAAGTATGTGTGCACAACAACGTACATGCATAAACTCACCATCCATTAGCAAAGAACCATTGTTCCTGTTACTCAACCGAGTTTTCAAAACATTGATAGCTTTGTCATTGCTGCTTGCGTTATCCAAAGTGTCATAAAATACTTTCTCAATACCCCAATCATCCAAAGATCTCAAAAATTGATTAGCAATGGTCTCTTCTTTATGATCTGGAATAGGACTAAAGCTAATAATCCTTCTACGTAAACGAAAATCCGTATCAATAAAGTGTGCAGTAATGACCATATAACTCAAAGTCATAATAGCAGTCCATATGTCAGTGGTAAAAGAGAGTGCTTGCCTATTTTGACTTAATTAAGTCTCCAGTGCTGTTTTCTCAGCCTTATACATTGTAATAGTGTCTCGAGTAATTGTTCTCTGTGATGGTATACTAAACCAAGGTACAGCTATCCCACAAAAATGTCTAAACCCATCATTCTCTACAAAAGTAAATGACAATTTATCCATGACAATCATTTTCACCGTTGCTTTCTTACATGCGATTTGATCAAAAGGCTTTGTCACTCCAACAACTTTACTACAATTATCACTAGTACCTCCAGCAGTAGGGATGACATTCTGAGAATCAGATTCAAGATGCTGGGAAAAGGTGTAAGCAAGGGAGATCTTTATTTGTTTGAAGACACCAAAGTTTCTGATTTATGTTGCACTTTTAATTTTGATTCTGTTTTAGCTAGGAATGTGTTATGGCATGCTAGATTAGGCAATCCTCATTCTCGTGCCTTAAGCTTGATGTTACCTAAACTATCTTTCAACAATGAAACTTGTGAGGCTTGTATTCTTGGTAAACATTGCAAAACTGTTTTTCCTAAATCTATGACTATTTATGAGAATTGTTTTGATCTAGTTCACTCTGATGTTTGGACAACACCTTGTGAATCTAAAGAAAACCATAAATATTTTGTGACATTCATAGATGAGAAATCAAAATATACATGGCTCACTTTGATTCAAAGTAAAGACAGAGTTTTAGAAGCTTTTATGAACTTTCCAAACTATGTAACTAATCAGTTCAATTCTAAGATCAAAATTTTCAGGTCTGATAATGGTGGGGAATACACTAGTCATGCCTTCACAAAACACCTAGCGAAACATGGAATCATTCATCAAACAAGTTGTCCATACACACCTCAACAAAATGGAGTTGCTGAAAGGAAGAATCACCATCTCATGGGGGTTGCAAGGAACATGATGTTCCATACCAATGTTCTAAAGAGGTTCTGGGGGGATGCGGTTGTATCACCTTGCTATCTGATTAACAAAATTCCCACCAAAGTCTTCCAAGATGTCTCTCCATTTCAGGTATTAAACAAAATAAAACCTCCACTAGACCATTTACGTGTGCTTGGGTGTGTGTGCTATG